CCTCCCGTGTGATGTGGCAGGCGCACAGCCAGTTCTCTATCCTTCTGGTTTACTACAGGAGCATGAAGGTTGCAGCTGGGCTCCCTGGACATCCGCCCGGCCCTAGGCTCCTGTCTAGGTTGCCTTGTGGATGAGCTGGTTCTGAACAAAAGTGCAGGTTATCAGAAGTGCCTGTTTACTGTCAACAATGGTGTTTATCCTTGGCCTGTGTGCTTTGAGATATTAGGGCATGCTGCATATACAGACTCGCCACCACTCACCTTCCCATCCAGCCAATCCATAGCTTTCTTCAGTAGCCCAGTCAATGCACTGTTATCGGGATGCGTGATGAGGAAATCTACATCATGGCCCTGCTGCTTCCCCCTACGGTTTCCAAAGACACAACACAATGCTTACATGGACGAGAGCAAGTATACGGTCTGTTTTAAATGACAGAGGCAATTTTACCCAATCCATCATACCCCACACCAAATATACTCTGGGCAGGCTGCGGCCTAAGTTCACAAACACTCACAGCAATGACCTCAAGGGGGTTATAACTGCACCTCTATCTTAAGACATTGGAGTAAAAACTGAATGTTCACCAAGCTAAGTAAAAGCCATGTTCAATCAGCCAATCACATGCTAGCAAATATACGGTTTTATTTTTTTTTGGTTCTTGATCAACTGGATGAAATTTGCTCAGTGGGTGGCCTTGTTGGCACCCTTCTATCTGGCATCCTTCAATCAGGAAATCAAAGGGGTCGGATGGAAAATTTTCAGGTGAACAGCGATGGCAGCCAATTGGCTGCCGTCACTATTCGGGTACTGTGGCATCGGCAAACCTGCTTTACAGATTCTCTCCTGTAATGCTAGCCATACACCATTCTATTTTTTGTTTTCGTTCAGCCCATGGTTTGCATGAAAAAGAATAGAACAGATTCCTCCATCAACACTTACGAGCGTTGATGGATGAATCCCCGCTCTTCTTCATTTGTATTCTGACATTTGCACAATCATCTGCACGCACCAATCGCATAGCACCGTTCGTTCAAAGGTTTTCCGACCGCCTCCTTTGATCAGCTATCGAGGGATTCTGGCCAGGAGGGTGCAGACAGAGGTACGCACTGTGCGAATTTCAGCCGGCTCTTCATGGATTCACAAAGTGTATGGCCAGCTTTAGCGGGCATGGAGGAATCTGTTATATATTTTCGTTCAGGCGAAAATATAACAGTGTATGGGCAACTTTAATGGCAGCTCTATGTATGTTTCTGTGGAACTCGGTTGCTACAAAAATATTTATTAGTCTTACCTGCGAAAGCCACCAGTCATTGTAATCTGGATGTCAGGGACAAACGTCTGCAGAGCTTCTCTTATCATACATTGTACACGGTCAGCCTCCTCGTGTGTTACAGGAAGCCGCAAGTCTGTGTAATGTTCCAGCCCTAAGTGAGGAATGTTACTGATTATTATAAAATACAGCAACATATTCTCTGATCACCAGTCCGCTTGTCCATACCTAGTCTCTGTTCTGTTGTCAGTTTAAACTTTGGGTCTTTCAGGTCATCCAGCTTCCGCACTCCATCTTTGTACCATCGCTCTGCTGTTTTCACCCCGACGCCAAAAATGCTGGTCAACAGCTAAGAATCAAAAAAGAATGTAACTTCTATTAGAGATGCTAAAACCAGACATAGCACAGAGGACAGTGGTCACTATTCCCTTGTTACACCCCCCCCCCCCCCCCCCCGTTACATCTTATATTGTTAGAAATAGCCCCTGGCTTTTGCTAAAAGAATAGGTTGAGTGTATATAAAGGGGAAAAAGGAGACCATTGGACTAACATGGCAGTACCCAGGAGTGCGGGTGTGTATGCCAGGGAGCACTATGTGCAGTAGGAGGAGCGCAGGTGGGTATGGCAGTGAGCACTGTGTGCAGTGGAAGAGTGTGGGTTGGTATGGCAGTGAGCACTATGGGCAGTGGAAGAGTGTGGGTGGGTATGGCAGTGAGCACTATGTGCAGTGGAAGAGGGTGGGTGGGTATGGCAGTGAGCACTATGAGCAGTGGAAGAGTGTGGGTGGGTATGGCAGTGAGCACTATGTGCAGTGGAAGAGTGTGGGTGGGTATGGCAGTGAGCACTATGTGCAGTGGAAGAGTGTGGGTAATGTGGAGTAGGAGGAGCGCAGGTGGGTATGGCAGTGAGCACTGTGTGCAGTGGAAGAGTGTGGGTTGGTATGGCAGTGAGCACTATGGGCAGTGGAAGAGTGTGGGTGGGTATGGCAGTGAGCACTATGTGCAGTGGAAGAGTGTGGGTGGGTATGGCAGTGAGCACTATGGGCAGTGGAAGAGTGTGGGTGGGTATGGCAGTGAGCACTATGTGCAGTGGAAGAGTGGAGGTGGGTATGGCAGTGAGCACTATGGGCAGTAGAGGAGTGCGGGTGGGTATGGCAGTGGGCACTATGTGCAGTGGAAGAGTGGAGGTGGGTATGGCAGTGAGCACTATGTGCAGTGGAGGAGTGTGGGTGGGTATGGCAGTGAGCACTATGTGCAGTGGAGGAGTGCGGGTGGGTATGACAGCAGACAGTATGTGCAGGAGAGGAGTTACAATAGGAAGCTGTATTTTCAGGAGAGGATGATGGGAGTATAGGACAGCGGTTAGTACAACATCAACATTATGCAAATATTAGTTACATTTACTATGCAAGGATGACTTCAAACACACAAACTTGTACAAAGATAGGAGAAAAGGTATGAGTGCACGAGAGAAAGAAGAACTGAAAATGTTTAATATTTCCCACCAATCTATGTGCTGAGGGTACACTCACCTCCATACATTGGTAATGCTCACTTGCTTTGAGCGCCTCAGCTTCTCTACACACTCCGTCCTCCAGGATTTCCTGCACATTAAATCTACAGTAAGTTTTTAAAAGTATAAAATCAATGATAGAGCAACCGACTCGGATATACAACCAGATGACTGTATTTCTGTATAGCTATACGCTATTTATTTGTGTCATTGCTTTTTAAATTCAAGTTGAGGAAAGTGTCTGTATTCAGGAACCAAACGACGACAAACTACCACAGGACCAAACCAACAACAATCTGTCTACATACTGAGAGAAAACGAATGTATTTGATGGCCACTGACTGATGAGATGCTAATTGTACAGGTTGTAAAACATCAAATGGTTTGACATTCAGGTGTGTGTGTGTTGAGCAGAGATGGTCTGTACTAGAAAGCTGAACATTCGGCAGATTAAATCTATATTCGGATATCGGTCTCCTAGCAATGGTACTCAGTATTGTGCTGCCAACATTCTGTCAAGGACTGTCAACAGTGCTGAAGTATACAGTTCCGTATAGCCGCCTGAACGCTTGTATGTAACACCCTTTACGTGCTGTTTATGTTATTCTCTCGCGCTAAGGGGCTAGTGTAAGCGGAAAAAGAAAGACGCCGTGCATATACAGCGACCCACAGAAAGGCACTTGCCGTCCAACTGGCGGATGGCAAGTCGTTACATTTTTGCCCAGACACTTTGCGCGGTAATGTTTTGTTCCCTGTTGTGGATCCATTATTTTTTTTAAATGGCCAACACATACCTGGATGACGGATTTGCAGTGCCCGCCACACCACGGCAGATCCTCGGCTTCTTCTACAGACTGTAGTTTGTATGGCAGAGACTTCAGCATGGATGCTGCCCTGGTGAAACCCAGATATCGAACCTCTGAACCTCGGAAAGACGCTGCTCGTGCCAAGATCTCCAGGGCATCCTTTCAAATTGTGAAAAAGTTACAGCTATACCTTTTGTTCCTGAACTATATGACATCATAGTTACCTTAAAAAAGGAGCAATGAATCCCTACAATAAAATACATTTAAAGCCAAAACTTTAAGATGGAGTATAAAACGATAAACCCTGACCGCAGTCTATGACCCCTTTGGGGAGATTCACCCCTCTATTTGTCCTGGTGATCGTCGTGATCCGCAATCCCAAATGTTGTCACAGGAACAGGAAATAGGGGGAAATCCTAGACAACTTTCAATATAACAGCTTTACCTTTTTTAAAGTTTTTTTTTTATGCTGTAGGTGACCTGTTGCAGAGATCTAAACAAATGACAAACGCACTCAACAATTTGTCACCAGTTATACAGTAAGGTGCATACGAAATGGGCTTTGAACAGTAAAACAGTAGAAAGGCAATTTGATATCTTCTGCCCCCATGTGCTCCAAGATGGAGACTCTCATAGTTTAGAATTAGGACCGCACTATAAGAGGTGCCTTGGCGCGGCTGTGCGGCTTTCACATTTTCTGCAGAAGACATGTATCCAAACCTCTGTTATTAACCTTAGTGGTGAGACAAGTTGTTTTACATGCTGGTTTGTGAGTGTGCCATGATGCCTTTCTGCTGTTTTACTGTTGCAGAGATCTACCGCCATTTTCTATCCATAAAGAGAAAATCTCTAGTGCGAGGTACTTGTCACCATAATAAATGTTCACAGACAACCTTAAGGGGTTCATGATGGAAGGTTCTCATCCATCCAGGTCATGGCATAACTAAAAAAATAAATCAAGGCAACTGGACTTGCTATATATTTTTCTTGGAGACGTTTCACTGGTCATCTGACTAGCTTTCTTCATTCCGAATTGGGAAAGCTAGTTGGGTGACCGGCGAAATGTCTTCAAGAAAAATATAGCAAGTCCAGTCGCCTTGTTTTATTTTGACAGATACTTAAGGGATTCCTTTATAAAATGTCTTATACTTGTCAGCAACATGTAGGGGTACTAGTGCTGTGTGATTGGGATCCTCCTGGTTATATGCTGGGCAGAACTTTTATTAACCCCTAAAAGTAAATGAATCTCACCTGACAGTTGTCACTAGCTGTCCCAGCTGAAATATTGATGGACTTGTGTCTTTTTTCAACCTACGTAACTATAATATTTTTCCTCCTTTACTGTGCTGGCGGCAACCATAACATTTCAGACTTCCTGTAATTTTCTGTCCTATGGATAATGATCATCAGGAAAAAGATCTCGAATCTCCCCAGGAGGAATACAGAACAGCAATAAAGACCTAACAGGGGTTCTAACTGTTCCCTGCTCTCTCCAAAAGTAACCAGGGGACAGTGAAGTAGAGATCCCAATAGGGAGATCACCCAATTTTGTTTCAAAGCGATTTAACAAGCTGGCATGTTAAGTTTACCAATGCAGTCAATCTTTTATGTAACATGATGGTAAACAATGTGGTGTTTTGGGGGCATGGTTGCCATATGTAATGCGGTGAAATATCTGGGGTCTAAATAGACCGCTGACATTTCCCTTTTGAAATAGAATTTTTTTCTGCAGCCCCAGCTCTCAATGAATGGGAAGCACTCAGTACAGAGGCTTCCCATTCATTTCAGAAACAAATGATAGTAAAAATATCTTACTATCATTAGTTTATGAATGGGGAGGAGCCTCACTCGTACGACACACGTCCTTGGCAGGGAAAGGGTTAAAGGAGAAGTCCTGGTAACTGCTCACTTTGGTCTAGGGCTGAAAACAACAAAGTTATACTCACCTGATCCTCCGAGCTGGCTTGCTGTTAGACCGGTCCCTGGAGCCGCTCTCTCCCTCCGCTGCAGCGGTCTAAGGTCCCCAAGTCATCACGCTCTATGCACAGTGTATAGGACGTGAGGACACCGAGGGATATGCCACTGCTGCAGCGGAGGGGACACAGGCTGGAGGGAGCGCTGTCACAACCAAGCCGGCTCCAACGATCGGGTGAATAGAATTGTTATTTTCAGCCCTAGACCAAAACAAGCAGTTAACCCTTGCAGTGCCGGGGGAGCCCCACAACAAGAGTTAATAAAAAATTCCTTCCCATTTACAGATTAGGTTTTCCTTCTGGGCATCATCCAAATCAGTAAGTAGGACTTTCTTGGTGGAGTAAGTTACAAAACCAAAAGCCCTCCCCGATTGGCTACCATAGTTAGAAATTTAATTATGACGTTTACATCACGCTGCCCTATATAGAGATCAGTCTGTATTATACATGGGCACAGAGTGTGAGAAAGATGCAGATAACCTATAATTTACAAAAGCTGCGATACAGCCGTGTTCACCGGGGATCAGGTACTTGCACGGCCGAATCACGCTGCCGAAGACGGCTACTTATTTCCCTTAACATGATTGGACCTCTCCCTTCTGAAAATGCTAGCTGCCAGGTGACACTCCAATACTTTGAGACAGATAAGACACCAACATGCAGCCAGCAAAGTCGCAGCTCCAATTCTGCACACTTGTTGCACGCAAGTGACAAACTAGAGAGTCTGTGCATCAGCTTGACAGCCAGGCAGCTAGCATTTTCAGAGAAGATGAGTGATGGCAGCCTACATATTTCCCAAGTCTTCTTTGAATCTATGTTCTCTGTAATGCCCTCCAGCCAGGATTCAAAGTGCTCCCCACATGTGAGGGGGGGTCTGCTTCCTGAAGCCTATGCTACACAACCTCATTTCCCTGCGATATCGCTCTCCAATGCTTGGCAATGGGGCAAAGGGTCCTGCTGTCGCGGGTTGTGTGTCGCTACAGCAGGACTTTTTTTGGAGCGGATTTTGCCGCGATTCAATGCTTTCAAATGCAAGCATTTGCGCGATATCGCGTGACAAATCAGCTGCAAAAAAAGCTCCCAAAACAAATGCACGTAAAGACGTGCTGATCAGTGTGTTTCCATTTAAGTCTATGGTGCACAATGGGCTGATCAGTGCCACAAAAGAGTCTCAGGGACCATCTCAAACACCAGGCGTACTTTGACGCACGATTCAGCACGTTTGTGTGAACAGCCCCCCATAAGAATACATGGGACGAAACAGGGCCTATAACTAAGGTCCAACCTTTTTTTTGCCATAGTTCTCTTTGGTAAATGTCCTCTTGTGACCCAAAAACTCAGCATATAGCTGGCCATTGCCTGCTATATCTAAACAATAAAAAGGTGATCAGCGCCAGTAAGTGTAATGTGGAAATATGAGCTACCAAGCACTAAGGATATAACTAAATATCTGTAAAATGTGAAAAAACAATATTGTGCCGAGCTAATAAATCATACATATCTAATAAATTGAAACATATATAAATGAGTCACATATATGAACAAACAAACAAATGAGGCATAAGAAATATCTACACATACAAAAAAGCAATATAGGCAAAAAAAGTCCCAAGGAAAAAACAAACGCAAACAATGGTGATTGTGCAAAAAATTCCTCAGATGATTCGCAGCCAATGTGCATATAACTCTCAGGTAAGGATAATCACACAATGCAGGCAGACCTTCACCTCCACCCAGTGAGTGATGATAACAAGTGAATGCTCACCTGGGGAGGTAGACCCACAGAGCTAGGTCAAATGCACTTTTTCCCTTCTTAATGGGGGAGGGAAGCCCATGCACAGAAAAAGGCGATAAGGTCTCCTCAGATCACAGGTACCAGTATAAATCCAGGTGGAAAGAGAAAAAGGACAAGGACATAGTGCGTAACGTCCAATAAAATGCAATTTATTATATAAAAAATGCGTACTCACAATGGTGTAAACAGTACAGGCATTGGGTATTGCTGGATCATACCAGCAGGACAAATGGCAGCAAAGTGATAAGAAAACTGTTCGTCCGGCTCAGCGTGGTGACATCAGGAGCTCTGCCCTACATACGTTACGTCAAAACACGTGACTTCGTCAGGGGTCACTATATGCTATATGCTGACAGCGCACAGCCACGCTGCAGACAGGATAGATCCCAACAATATTGTCGGGATCCACCTTGCTAGCGGACTGACAGCTGGCTCGCCCCCTCCCCTGTCAGTCAGCGCTGGAGGAATAGAGAGAAGGGAGGGGGAATCCCTGCGGGGAGCGGTGATTGACAGTCACTGCTTTCTGCAGGGAGAAGATTGGGAACTGAGCGATCAGCGGTTTGTGATCGCTCATTTCCCGATTAATAGAGCCGACATGTGACATCTTCAGTGTTCTAATTATAGGGATCAGTGTATTTCACTCTCCCCATAATTCTCCTTTAAAAAAAGGAGAACTATGAGGTGAGTGCTTTTCACTCACCTCATAGTTCTAGCCGACCTGTGACAATGAGACTGTCACAGGTCGGCTTAGTAGATCGGGAGGTGAGCGAACACATACCGGCGTTCGCTCACCTCTCGATCCTGTCACGGCTCTCTGCCTGCTCCGATCCGCCAACGCTGACTGGCGGAACGGACAGGGGAGGGGGCGGGTTCAGCTGGCTCTGCCTCTAGATAGGCAGCTGTCAGTCACGCAGCTGGGCGGACCCCGGCATAATTGTGGGATCCGCTTCAGCTGCGGCGTCTCAGTATACCGCGAGCTGTAGCTCACGGTATACTGAGCTTTGGGTGACGGGAGGATGCTAGTTTGTGTCCTCCCGTTACCCTGAGAACTATGGGGAAAAGCCTTGACCCTATAGTTCTCCTTTAATGAATCACTAGATGCAAAAAGGTGAAGGCAACTCAGATTAATAACTGTGATAAACATCTTAGTACGGACATGACGGGTTTGCCTTACTAAGGGAATAGAAACTGTTCACTGAGCTTAGTAAACATGATGAAGCGGTGTTCACTTCAACCAATCATGCGATAGCGAAAATACTGTTTTCATGATTTCTCTTATAATTTCTTATTCTGTCACATACCTGGGTGCTGTGCACGCTCTTCCACCTCTTGTCCAACACCCCTGGGAGTGAAGACAGGAGATGTGAGGACATATAGAGGCACAAGGGCCGAAGTTGCAGGTAGGTCCGGTCTTCTGGAGCAGAAACCAAACGCAGGAACACTTCGGCGGCCAAGGAGAATGGAGCAGAGAGTCAGAAGCAGAGCCACAGAGTCAGCAGACAGGGGCAGTGTCAGAATATAAGCCCGTGGGTCAGTAACAGCCGGGCAGCAAGATACAGATTCAGCAGACAGAGGCAGTATCAGGAAGCAAGCCATGGGTCAGCAACAGCCGGGCAACGAGCTGCAAAATTAGCAGGCAGAAAGTAGAGGCCAATGTAAGTAGAGGGCAAGGTCACTACAAGTAGACAAGATCAAGAAGGGGTAAGCGGGGGGTCAAAACACAGGAGATCACAACAGCAGGTTGGGTTGCAGGTATCAGGAACTAGCTGAAGACCACTCAGCAATCTGTCCACGTCACACTCCAGTTATTATAGGCTGTTTGGCACCGAAAATGAATGCTAATGCGCATGCACCTTCACACGAATGCATGTGCACACCTGAACGCTAATGCACAACTGCCTGTCATCCTGTACACGGGGCCATGAGCCATAGCATGCACATGTGCACGAGCCTGCACTGGTCTTCTGGAGATGGAATGCACGGCACTTACACATTCACTTTGCTAAATGAACAGTCTATATTCAATTTGTAACTCAACACCCTTGAGTCCATGTGAGGGACAAGTAGGTAACCAAAAAGGGATCCCGGATTACTAACAAAGGAAGGGTGGTACAGATAAAAGAAGATATACCCTTAAATGTGGGCACTGCTCATACGTACTGTGATCTGTGAATTATGATGCATCAATGGCGTTCGCCGTTGGCAGGCATAGGGCAGTACAGCAGAATGATCAGCTTTGTCAGTGGAGGAAGAAGTTCTGTCACCCTGGGAAAAGATTAACACAACACACGTATGATTCATACTAGTCAACCATACGACAGGATCATTATAAAGCACCGCTGACTTTTTTATTAAGTGTAACCAAACAGAAGGTGTTTCAGAGCTGTTAGAAACCAACTGAAACTGGACTTGTTTGTGATCTTTAAGAATGACTTTAGCAGCTAGAAAGGTCAGTGAAGGCTTGCTTTGAAGCTTATCTGCTCTTAAAGAACAACTCTGGGAATGTTAAAAAAATTAACCCTTGCAGTTGGGCTCCGGTGGTGTAAGGATCTGTGACACAATCATGTCTATTAACTTGCATTGGACGTGAGGATGCCGAGGGACATTTCACAGCCGGGAGGGGGAAGAGAGGCGAGTAGTCAGAGAGGATTGGGTGAGTATCTTCTTTAATTTTAGATGCTAGGCCAAAACGAGCACTTCACCCGTGCAGTGATGACGTGGCCCCACTGCAAGGGTTATTTTTTTTTACATGCTTGGAGTTTCTCTTTAAGAATAAATACATTAACCCCATCAGTACCGGAGCAAAGTCTGAAAGTGGTTAATGTCCATAGTCTGGACACAGGTGCACTTTGAGGCAATAAGGAGTTTTACATTATTTTAGGAAATGGTTATTTTGGCTCCTTTTACCCCAGCCGCCTGTCAGCCACTGATCATAGCCATTGATTTCAAACAACTCCAGACGATTCTGATATAGTTTTATGGTTGCTGAAGTGACCATGAGCTTTTAGCAAAGTAAAAGGTGCCCACACACCTTACAATTTATCTGCAGACTTTCTATGGTCAGATGGAAAAGGTTCAACAGATTCCTCCATCTACACTTAACTGTGTGTATGGAGTAATCTCCACCTGGGCCAATCTGTTGCACAGACGCCAGGCTTACCGAGCTGGCCTGCTGCAAGTGGTTTTGTTCCTGCGTGCGGCTTACATCCTTAGCAATGAAAGGGTTGAGAAAGACCTTGTGTTATAGACATGCAATGAGATAAGCGGATTATCTAGGAACAAAGATGTGCGGACTGCACCCATGTACATAAAATAAATACAAAATCAATATTTATAATAACCTGATATTTCCCACACATACACAAGAAAAAAAAATCTGGTTCAACCATTACGCCAAAATATTTGACTTTTTATGGATCATCAAAAAGCACTTGAATAGTAACGGCATGTACTTTAAAGTGTCTCTTCTCATGTATTGACGGCAGCTCGTTTGCCTTATAGCTTTACATTGGAAGCGTGGGACTCCACCTTCGGATACGGATCTCTATACTAGAATAAAAGATGTTCAAAAATTGGAATACTTGACGGCTAGACTGAACAACACCTTGACATACTACAACAAAGTCTGGGAACCATGGGATGCGTTGGAGGATGCAGTCTCTAATGGTTAGAAGAAACGCATGTATCTCTGTGCCACTGTCTGGTGGCCTGAGGTGTGGTCGGTATCTCTTTCTGTTCCTACTTCTACCCCTTTCTCTCTTTTTTCTCCGCTTCCTATAACTCGACATCAGGTGCGTAACTAGAAAACACAGGGCCCCATAGCAAAATTTTGTATAGGGTCCTGTGTTTTCTAGTTACACCCACCTGAGAGTGACCCTGCAGAGCCCATCATAAACTCTCTATGGTGGGCTCTGTCAGGTCCCAGGTGGGCTGGTCAAACCCTCTTACCTGTCAGCCCTTTTACGATGTCCTCCTTCTGCTTGTCCACGGTCGCTGGCGGGCCCCGCCTCCTCCGTCGCTGCTTAGGCCGGGCCCATCCTCTTCCTCCTCCGCAGCTGCTGGCTGTCACTTATTCAACAGCAGCTCTGAGGAACGCGCCGCTACACAGATCACTGACAGGTTGTCAGTGATCTGGACAGCGGCGTGTTCCGCCTCACAGCCACCAGTGACAGCCAGCAACCTGATATGTCATAGCGACCCGCACGGCATCAGGGGGATGTCCTCGTCGGGCCCCCCTGTGCCCAGGGCCCCATAGCGGCCGCCTGGGTCGCTATGGCGATTGTTCCGCCACTGCTTGACATTGTCCTTTCTGTTTCTTTTTTTCTGTCATCAGGTTTGGACTTAATACTATATTTTGTATTGCTTCTCATGGTATGATTTGTTGCAATGTGTATATGCTAACCAAAGTATTAGTACTCATGCCTCCAATTTAATTTTCTACCATAAGCTGCAATAATTGCGGTGTTGTCCTACCGGTCACACGCAAGCCATTTCTACTGATAAGATTTTCATTCTATAGTTTGCTTGATTTGCAATGTTCATTATTGTATTGTTGCGATGTCATTGTCCTCTATATTTTGTATGCCGTTTCTTATTTTTTTAGGATAATAAAAGTTTTTATTAAAAAAAGAAAAAAAAAAAGAGAAGTGTCTCTATAAGGAAAAAATGCCTAAGAAGCTCTCCTAGGTAGATCAGGTGAGGTTTCTGAAGTAATAGTAGGAAGTAAGCATTACAGACAATTCAATGGACAGGCAAATAATATTTTAAAGAGAAGACTGCTGCATTTACCTGTAAACAATGTCTGCCTTCCACAGACATCGGCTCTCCTGCACTCATGCTCTCCGTGAACCAGCTGATGTCCAGGAAATGTGGAGACTTCTGTCGTCCTGTTCTTTGAACCCCACATCCAGTCTTCCCCTCGATCCAGCCGAGGACCTCAGCGAGAGAATTCTGCTCCGACACTACATGTGTCACTGCATCGCTGCAAAACCAACCATGAGGACCAAAGATACAAATGATCCATTACTTAGTAAGGGTAACAGGAGTTTGTGTTCTCCCGTTACCCTAAGGAGAACTATGGGGAAAAGCCCTGACCCCATAGTTCTCCTTTAAAGCTGAACTTCAGGTTTGAAAAATGTTGCATACTTACACTGCTCCAGATGGCCCAACGTAAGAATGGGAATGCCATTCCTGACTGGCTCACAGGGATCCTGTAAAGCATTCTAGTAGCCAGAGCTACCACAGTGCTGACAGTCATCGTCCTGGGTCCTGTATAGTGCTGTGCTGAGCAGCTTCCACTCTGCTGTGATATAATCCATGTATGCATTATGTGTCCTCCACTCTGTATCCTGCACTCTGTTAAAGCAGAACTCCTGGTAAGAAATATTTAGCATACCTACATTGGCCCAATCCAAGTATTCATATGCCATGATCCTGTAAAGAATCGTAGTAGCTGGAGCTACTACAGTGTTGACAGCCATCTCACGGGCCCTGTATGGTGATGTGCGGCTTCCCCTCTGCTCTGAAAAAACACTGCTGGTCACTCAGCACAGCGGCCGTTCAGAGAATTCCTAGTATTTTTATCAAATACAATGTATATTCTCATTGGACGAAAGGTGGATTGTGATGTCACCGTCCCTCATCTAAAAATCACAAAATGCCTTGTATTCACTGATAGAAATATGAGACGTTCTCTGTATGGCCACTGTGCCAAGCGAGTGACCACCTGTATTTTCAGAGCAGAGGGGAAGCCACGCAGCACAGCACTGTACAGGACCTGTAAGATCGCTGTCACCACTGTAGTAGCTGGAGCTACTACGATTCTTTACAGGATCCCTGTGGGCCAATCAGATATGGCATACGTGAACTTATATTGGGCAAAGCTGGACCAATGCAAGTATGCAAAATATTTCTTACCTGGAGTTCAGCTTTAACAAAGCGGAGGGTACACAATAAATACAGTACATGGATTATTACAATACACAATATCTAATACAACCAGTCTCAACCTTTTTTACATGCAGGGACACTTAAAATAACTCAGATCTCAGGGAACTCCTAAAAATTATTATATCCACACCTCACGATACATTCGAATAAACATTTAATTTATGGATGCAAGGGCCCTTTGTTGTTTAGACCCCAACCCCTGCCATATAAAAAACGCAGCATTAAAGTGACATTAAACCCTCAGATTTTTTAACATAAACCAATACTGTAATGTGTGCCTTACTGTAATCCATGGTTGTTTCCCTTCTCTTTGCTGCTCTTCCTTTTAAATCTGTATCTGTTCTCATGCTGGGCAGAACTTCTGTTTTGCAGTAGACTGCCTTGTCTCTGGAATGGATACATGGTGTCTGTGTGAAGGTTCACAACCTGAGCCAGCACTACAGGAAGAGGCAGTCAGCTGCAAAGGGAAGTTCTCCCCAAGCATGAGAAGACATGAGGATTTAAAAAGGAAGAGCAGCAAAGAGAAGGGAAACTAACATGGATTACAGTAAATCACACATTACAGTATTGGTTTATGTTAAAAAATCTGAGGGTTTAATGTCACTTTAACCATTTAAAGAAAGAAATGAAGCACAGTACAGCGCAGGAGAGTATTCTTGCAAGATTTGGGAGCCCCTTCAGGATCTCGCTGAAAGGCCCAAGTTCTCACCCTTACCCAGGTGCCACAGGGGACGTGGGGGGTCTATTATTATACAGGATTTATATTGCGCCAACAGTCTGTGCAGCGCTTTACCATATAAAGGAGGACATTACAGTTACAATACAAATCAAGACATGATGGTAAGGAGGGTGCTCTACAAAATAAGTGGACCTTGTATTTTGATGCATGGTCTGCTTTAAAGCATTAGAGGAGAATTATGGGGGCTGCCACTGTGGACATCTTTATGAAAACACTAGCCGCCTGGCTCTTATGCGGATTCACTGGTCTGAACATGTACTGCCTTCTATCCTCACAGATATAGCTGGCTCTTTTATCTGCCTTCAGCTGCAACACTTTCTGGAGCACTAGAGGCTGTGCAAGCGAGAGCCCACATTGCTTCCTGGCCCCATCTCGGACGTCAGCTCCGACTCCCAGCACCAGAGGAAGTCTCATGCTCTCTGCTAGAACAGCGCTGACCCTGATGTCAGAAGTGTGCCTGCAGTCACACCGCGGTGAGCGAAGGAATGCAGAGGTTCTGCACCACAATGACTGCTTTGCTACACAGACCCGCTGTAGTTGCACACGCCAATGGGACAAAATGTGCATGCATGTACACTTGGGAAACAGCTCTACAGCTGCTAAGCCAACTGCTGTCACAGGCAAGATGGCGGCAGACAGCAGTAAAAACCAAAGCATTGAAAAGTCTGGGAAGCAGTCTGTGTTTTGGGCTTGCATTTGTGGTAAAATAAGGCAAGCTTTTACCAAATTACAGCAGCGTCCCTTTACATCAAAGTTTTTTTGCCCAAAGTTCAGCACTTCTCTACTGATGCAGTACCTCCATTTATAATATACCTGTACTCTTGAGCCACGGAGAACCCTTTCCTCTGTGCCAGTGCTGCGAGGAAGCCCCGTCGTGCTGCTCCCATCCTGCGCTCCACCAGGAATATGCAGACCCCAGGGAATAAGCCAGCTGACGCTTCTCGATCTACTGGAACTGGAGTTTCCTTCTTCCTCTTTTTCAAAGGGATCGAAACCATTGAAAAAAACGCAGCATTAAAGTGACATTAAACCCTCAGATTTTTTAACATAAACCAATACTGTAATGTGTGCCTTACTGTAATCCATGGTTGTTTCCCTTCTCTTTGCTGCTCTTCCTTTTAAATCTGTATCTGTTCTCATGCTGGGCAGAACTTCTGTTTTGCAGTAGACTGCCTTGTCTCTGGAATGGATACATGGTGTCTGTGTGAAGGTTCACAACCTGAGCCAGCACTACAGGAAGAGGCAGTCAGCTGCAAAGGGAAGTTCTCCCCAAGCATGAGAAGACATGAGGATTTAAAAAGGAAGAGCAGCAAAGAGAAGGGAAACTAACATGGATTACAGTAAATCACACATTACAGTATTGGTTTATGTTAAAAAATCTGAGGGTTTAATGTCACTTTAACCATTTAAAGAAAGAAATGAAGCACAGTACAGCGCAGGAGAGTATTCTTGCAAGATTTGGGAGCCCCTTCAGGATCTCGCTGAAAGGCCCAAGTTCTCACCCTTACCCAGGTGCCACAGGGGACGTGGGGGGTCTATTATTATACAGGATTTATATTGCGCCAACAGTCTGTGCAGCGCTTTACCATATAAAGGAGGACATTACAGTTACAATACAAATCAAGACATGATGGTAAGGAGGGTGCTCTACAAAATAAGTGGACCTTGTATTTTGATGCATGGTCTGCTTTAAAGCATTAGAGGAGAATTATGGGGGCTGCCACTGTGGACATCTTTATGAAAACACTAGCCGCCTGGCTCTTATGCGGATTCACTGGTCTGAACATGTACTGCCTTCTATCCTCACAGATATAGCTGGCTCTTTTATCTGCCTTCAGCTGCAACACTTTCTGGAGCACTAGAGGCTGTGCAAGCGAGAGCCCACATTGCTTCCTGGCCCCATCTCGGACGTCAGCTCCGACTCCCAGCACCAGAGGAAGTCTCATGCTCTCTGCTAGAACAGCGCTGACCCTGATGTCAGAAGTGTGCCTGCAGTCACACCGCGGTGAGCGAAGGAATGCAGAGGTTCTGCACCACAATGACTGCTTTGCTACACAGACCCGCTGTAGTTGCACACGCCAATGGGACAAAATGTGCATGCATGTACACTTGGGAAACAGCTCTACAGCTGCTAAGCCAACTGCTGTCACAGGCAAGATGGCGGCAGACAGCAGTAAAAACCAAAGCATTGAAAAGTCTGGGAAGCAGTCTGTGTTTTGGGCTTGCATTTGTGGTAAAATAAGGCAAGCTTTTACCAAATTACAGCAGCGTCCCTTTACATCAAAGTTTTTTTGCCCAAAGTTCAGCACTTCTCTACTGATGCAGTACCTCCATTTATAATATACCTGTACTCTTGAGCCACGGAGAACCCTTTCCTCTGTGCCAGTGCTGCGAGGAAGCCCCGTCGTGCTGCTCCCATCCTGCGCTCCACCAGGAATATGCAGACCCCAGGGAATAAGCCAGCTGACGCTTCTCGATCTACTGGAACTGGAGTTTCCTTCTTCCTCTTTTTCAAAGGGATCGAAACCATTGCGGGGCCTAAGCAAATGAAAAATACAACAGGGAAGTAAATCTATTGTCTGATCAATATGTATAATAAAGCTGACTGCAGTCAGTGTCACCCGGAGCAGTCCTGAAGCAGCAATGGAAAAAGCGACTTACTGGTTGTTACTTGCAAAGCTATGAGTGTTTCCTGACACTGAGGGACACAAGCAATGTGGGGGAGCCCCCAGGAAGGACACCATCAGATCTTATAGTTAAGGTTTGTGCCACCAACTTGGGTTACCCAAGTTACCTTATTATAGCCACGTTCGCACTAAGAGTGCCAACACGGAGTCATCTTTTACAAATGATGCAACAATGCAAGCAAAAAAAGATCAAAGGGCTGCTTAGTTTTCATATAAAGAGCAACTAAACTCTGGAAGCTGTACCCCCCCAAAAAAAAAAAAGTCAGGCAGAGGGCAAAGACTGGTCACCTGTACTGCTTGAGTTCTCCCCCCACCTGATTTTTCTCTATTTCTGATCTAGCGTGCCTCCTTCGGCACTGTGCCCCTCTGGGAAGCCAGCCATCTTGGTAGAGGTAGCACTTTGCTTCCTTATGTCAGAGCCTCCAGCACGGAGTTCACTGAGCAGCACAGTAGTGACATCACCTAATGTAATTTCCTGGCAAGTCAAGGGCAGAAGTGTCTAAGATCTTACACTGCAGATATACAGCTATGAGCAGGGCTTGAAAAATCTGCTCACAGACGAGAGGACGGTGGAGCCAGACGTGTAGCTTCCCATCCGGCCGTTGTAATTAAACAGCCGGCCGGGAGCTTTACATTCAAGCGATCGGGTGTCGATAGCTTGTATTAGCAGCAGCTGTCACTGCCGTTGCCAGTCCCGAGATCCTCTGCGGTCAGGACCGACACGGCTGCTCTGTGACAGGAGATGGGTACATGATTCTCCTTCCGATCTCCTCATGCAGGAAGTGATGTATATTACATCACTTCCGTATTCTGCTGTCACTCTCCAGCTTTAGAAGCTGGTGAAGCAGGTCTGTGCTTCATCAGCTTCTCTGGGGGTCCTTAGGTGACATTAGGGGTCTTAAAAACCCGTCTCCATAAAGAGGACCAATTTACTGGTCATGTAAATTGGCTATCACATAGGGGGCTTCTTAGCCCCCATATGATAGCAATAAAGTTAAGTGTAAAAAAATAAATAAATAAAAGCATACATTTTTTTTAAACACTAAATTCCCCCGGCCCCCACATACACGCAAACATGTGTCGGGGAAGCCTATGTGCGAAAATGACGGTTGCGCCGATTGTGCCGCACGTTACATATCACTGCGAATGTTGGAGTGAGAGCAATAATTGTAGGGCTATCAATCACTGATAAAACTAAACTGATGACCAGTAAAAAGCTTTTAAAGCGTCACCTATGGGCAATTTTCGGTGTGGTCGTTTCTTGCACTTTTGTGGGCGTGCACAATTCTAAGGCTCGACATGTTTGGTGTCTATTTACCCGACGTGACCCCGTCTTTTATATTTGACCAAAAATATGGGTAAGAAAAAAATTTTCACGTAGGGAAAACATTTTTTTTTTTTTAAACCCCCAGTGGTGATTATATATCTTTAAAAGAAAGCTTGGTTTCCTTTAAAAAGTTAACATAAATGGCAGGGCTATAGTCCGGTCATGCTGACTGTGAAATTTTTGACTGACTGGTGAGACACCCTAAAATTTTTCAAGCCCTGGCTATGAGGCTGAACGGAAGAGGCGTGCCTAGGCACACTCACATACCTGGAAGCACACTAGAAGGAATCCCAGACAAAAAGTCAATGTTTCAGGGTTCTGCTTCGGCACAATGAACACTTCGAACTATGAGGTGAGTGAAAAATCACTCCTCCTCATAGTTTGCGCCAACATGTGACAAAGAAACTGTCACACGTCGGCTCAATAGATCGGGAAGTGAGCTAAAGGGGCTGAACGCTAGTTTATGTCCTCCCGTGTCCCTTAGGAGAACTATGGGGAAAAGCACTGACCGCTTAGTTCTCTTTTAAAGTAGTATTAAACTCTCACATTTGTGTCTAATAATGAATCCAGATCAATCTAATTTAAATTTCCCAGCAATTTTGGCCTAGCACATATAGCCATCATGTTTCCAAAACAGCTCCAACTCTCCCAGCGCTCGGCTTCCCTGAACTTCCCGTCCAGTACAAAATCACAGCTGACAGCACAGTCTGAAGCAGATATCCATCTGCTAGCTTAGAGAAGATAGAAGTGAGGAAGGAGGAGCAGGGGAGTGGATTGCCTTGGTGTGTGTGTGTGTGTGTGTGTGTGTGTGTGTGTGTGTGTAGACACACGCAGCTTACTAGCACACACAAGGATGGCTCCAAAGGACCCTACAAGAGAAAGGAGCCCCCCTATATCAGGACCAGTGCTCAGGGAAGCAGCTGATTCTGCAGAAAACTTAAACATTATACATCAGGAAGCAGCATCCATTGTAAGTGATTTCATCAGCATCTGAAATAACTTCAAAACCTTTTGACTTTAATATATCTTTACGAATAACCAGCCCTGGGAACTGGCCCACGTGCTTGGCCAGCCTAACCAAGAAATAAAGGCCGTCTCCTACACCAGCGAATTATTCACCGCACACCTACCAGGTTTTCTGCATTAAAACAAGTTCCCACACAATATGTAAATTTGCACGCCAAGCAAAGATGACTCAAGCAGCAAGCCATAGTGTATGTGTGATGAAGGAGAAATAATGCGCTTTCTGAAGTATCTAGAGAACTGTTCACCGAATTATTTACCTTTGGATAATCAGAGCAATAACAAATCTTTTCACAATGGGGGACATTTATCAAACCTGGTGCAAGCAGGATCTGGAGCAGTTGCCCATAGTAACCAATCAGCTTCTCTCTTTCATTTTCAAAGCTCAATTGAACAAACTGAAGAGAGAAGTTGACTGGTTACTATGGGCAACTGCTCCGGTTTTGATACATTGCTCCCATTTCATCTTGTAAGGTATAAAGCCAAGGTGCTTTAGATATTATGAATTTTAATTAGAGTTTTTTAATATAAGTACGCCATCAGCATAAAAAAGGAGACCAAAGCTAGAAAAACGTTGGCAATGTTTTTGCAGAAAAGTTGCATCCGCCCTAGGCCTCAGACTAGAAAGAGCCCGCACGTACAGCTCCGTGCACGGCCGTATCGGGCAGCTCCCAGGAAGGGCAGGTGCTGCGTGTGATTAGTACGCAGCCCCCGTCCTTCTCTATGGGACTACGCGGCCATACGCCGACCTACGCTCACCTGCCCTGCACGTCTGTGCGGGTGTCCGTACTCGGACGCTGACAGGATGGATCCTCGGGACACCCCCACGGACCTGCACTTGGGGTGAGCGTAGGGTGGCGTATGACCGCATACTCCCATAGAGAAGGACAGGGGCTGCGTACTAAATCACACGCAGCACCTGTTCTTCCCGGGAGCTGCCAATACGGCTGTGCACGCAGCACGAGCTGTACATAGCTGGCCGTTTCTAGTGTGAATGAGGCCTTAAAGTGACGAGAAACAATTATTTAACTGACATCAGTTGTACTTCCCTTCCTGATATACACAGGATGATTGGGGTTGAAGGGATACCCCTTACTGGCTTAAAGTGGAACTACACCCTCCTATCCCTTACAGCCATAGAAGGTGCCATCTTGGCCTCTATTTGGATTGCAGTTGCCATGGTGCGGCACATGTGATCAGCTATGGCACCAGCCATGTGAGGGCTTGAATGTTCGATTGGGAGCTGAAATAAGCCCACTGGCAAAAAGTAATTGTTTTGGAAGACATTAAATTGGTGGGAAAAGTTCCTCTAAGGCAGCATTAAAAAGGTGCTTTTGGGATTTGTGGGGTTCATTCTGCAGGTTGAACACAATTCTGAAGCCCCGATTACCATCTACACTAATCAGCCATATTTTGACCACCCACCTAATATTGAGTAGGTCCCTTTTCCTGACCCATCGAGGCACGGACTCCACTAGACCTCTGAAGGTATGCTCTGCTATCAGACACCAAGCCGGCAGTAGCAGATCCTGTAAGTTGTGATGTGGAGCCTCCATGGATCGGACTTGTTTTTCCAGCACATCCCACAGATGATCGATTGGATTGATATCTGGAGAATTTGGAGGCCAAGTCAATGCCTCAAACTCATTGTTGTGTTCCTCAAACTATTCTTGAACCATTTTTGCAGTGTGGCAGGGCGCATTATCCTGCAGAAAAGGGCCACTGCCATCAGGGAATACAATTTCCATGAAGGGGTGTACTTGGTCGGTAACAATGTTTAGGCGAGTGGTACATCTCAAAGCAACATCCACATGAATGGCAGGACCCAAGGCAGAACATTGCCCAAAGCATCACATTGCCTCCGCTGACTTGCTTTCTTCCCATAGTGCATCCCGGTGCCATCTCTTCCCCATGTAAGCGGCACACACACACCCGGTCATTCACATGATGTAAAAGCAAAACGTGATTCACCAGACCAGGCCACCTTCTTCCATTGTTCCGTCGCTCACATGCCCATTGTAGGCGCTTTTGGCAGTGGACATAGGTCAGCATGGGCACCCTGACCGGTCTGCGGCAATGCAGCCCCATACAAAACAAACTGCAATGCTCTTTGTGTTCACACACCTTTCTATTGGAACCAGCGTAAACTTTTTCAGCAATTTAAGCTTCAGTAGCTCTTCTATTGGATCGGGCTACACAGGCCAGCCTTGCTCTCCAAATATATCAGTGAGCTTTGGCTGACCATGACCCTGTCGCTGGTTCACAGTTTTTCCTTCCTTGGACCACTTTTAGTTGTCCTGACCACTGCAGACCGGGAACATCCCACAAGAGCTGCAGATTTGGAGCTGGTATGACCCAGTCGTCTAGACATCACAATTTGGCTCGTCAAAGTCCCTCAAATCCTTACACTTGCCCAATTTTTCTGCTTCCAACACATCAACTTCAGGGACAAAATGTTCACTTCCTGTCTAATATATCCCCCCCACT